CTCAGTGAGAGAGAGGAGACCCTCATTGAGACGGATTGAGCCAGTGACTGCAGCAGTGGGCTCAGATGTGTCGGAGATGACGGGGAAGGTGCAGGACAGGCCAGTTTCCGATCTCTTTTTCGTGGGATCAGTATGAGCAGGTGACTCGATGGTCCCTAACAGCGGCAATGACAGATACAGTATCCTCACTCAGTTTCTTTTGAGAGAGAAAAGAAGGTGAGACAAGCAGAGATGGAGGAAGAGACATGACAAGCCACGTGAAGGTGGCCTGAGGCGGAAGGAGCGGAACCTCCCCCCAGAGCCCTGACCCTCACTCCGGCCTGGCTGCGTTCCAGGCCCCCCTCCCAGGGCATAAGGAACAGGACCTCCCCCCAGAGCCCTGGCCCTCACTCCAGCCTGGCTGCGTCCCAGGCCCCTCTCTGGGCACTCTGGCCAGGTGATGCTCAGTGGTGGGTGCTGTGGCCTCTCTGGGGGTCTTGGAGAATGTGCAGTGATGGTCTCATTGCGGTGCCTGGGAGGCTTGATTGCATGGGAGGGGACAGATGGTCCCCACGTGGTGCAAGCCCACATGATGCAGAGCTGCACTGCCCCAGGTGCCAGGTGGCCCCTTGGAGATTCACTGCCCACTGTGGTAGGCTCCTGGGGGTTCTGAGACCAGGCCTGTGCGTCCAGTCATAGGGCTTGCAGGGGATCCTTTATCATTCAGCTCTCCTCTTCCTTAGATCCCATGCCTCAGGGCAGACTTCACTGACACCTAACTAGGTCACCTCCCCGCTGTCAGGGCTGTCAGGGTCCCTGCACTGTCATTGGTTCACCTGGGCGTGCTGCTGTCACCTCAAGGTCTCAGCACTGTCGTTGCTCCACTGAGCCTGCTGGTCAGTGAGCCAGAGCCCGTCCTGGACGTGCACGTGCCTGTTGGGCAGTCCATTATTTCCACTGTGTATTTTTATGACTTCCAGTGTCCTTAGATGGAAGGACTCTCCTGATGGGCAAAATGAAATGAGAGAATTTGTGGGAGCTGTAAGACATGAGGACAGGGCCGTGTCTTGGTCACCGAGATGTGACACGTGGAGAGGGTCAGCCTTGGGCCTGCACTCAGGTTAGCAGTAAGAGCGAGTAGCCAGGGGTAAGTGGGAGGAGACCAACTGTGGATTGGCCGATTTCCTTCAGTCCTGTAAGTTGGACGCCACACCACAGCCCGAGAGACCTGTCGTCCAGAGCGACTCTGGGCAGTGCTGTGGATGACCCGTGGCATTTCAGTGGCTGGTTTTTGTGAGAAGACGACCAGGCCTTTCATCCTAGTCGGGCTCTGCCTGGCAGTTTACCTGGACAGGTACACCTGTCCCCCATGGGTGACCTGCTGGGATTTGAGATGCTGCTGGCATAACTTCCGACAGGAGCTCTGGTGCAGTGTGTCGGGTGTGCTGCTAACCACAGGCTTCACGTCGCTGGCAGTTCAAATTCCCCCGCTGCTTTGAGGGATGAAGAAGGGCAAAGGAAAGATTTGCCCGTGGGATTTACAGCCTCAGATACCGGGGACGGGCCAGTGCTGGGAGTCAGAGCCCACTCGACGCCGGAAGCTTTGTGACAGCTGCTGTCTTCACAGCGACACCAAAGCCACTTGGCTCAGCTTCTCTCTCAATGGCTGTGGTGCCCCTTTCCACCCGTGGGCTGGCTCATCTGAACTCCGGTGGGATGACTGAGCTGGCCTGCTCTGCACTAGGGGCCCGTACCCCTCGTTTGCCTGGCCCAGCCCTACATGGGCTCCAGGTGCCTTACCTCCATTGTCAGCAGGCTGTCCAGGCCCTGTGGTTGGCCATGGCCACCTCGTTAGCCTGGTCAGTAGTGAGCTGCGTGGCTGGCCCAAAGGCCCACCTCTCTGGCGGTTGACCCCTGACAGTGGGACACCTCCTGTGTTGTTTCCAGCCTCTGAAACCTGCAGGTCAGCCAGCAGGGCTGGTTCTCCCTCTGTTGTCAGGAGTCAGCTGGTGGGTGTTACGAGCCGCTTGTGAGGAAGGCCATATACAAAGGCGGCCCAGCACCCTGCATGGCCCCTGCGCCTGTTCCAACTCGCTTACAAATTAGACTCAAGACGGACCTCGTTGGTAGCTGGGGCACGGCCTGGGCACGGAAGCTTATTTGACACCAAAGCTTAGACAGAAGCCTCGCTTGGCCCCCGTAGATTTGAGGTGCCGTTCCTGCGAGTCTCCTCTGATGAGGAGATGGATGGACAGAAGGCACAGGAGCATCAGGCCTGCAGTTCCCGGCTGCCTTCCTAACCTGCGGCGGACGCACTGGGGCTCGGCGGCGGGCAGCCGCTCCAGAACGGGCTGTGTAAACAGTCCCCGATTAGTGCTCCGGCATTAGGCTCCTGCTTTTCATAATGTCCTTAGGGACCTGGGAAGATTTGATATTTTCTGAGATTGCTGCAAAATGCGAGTTATTGCTGGTGGTAGCGTCCAATTATTCTGTCCTTATTTTACTTAGGGTTTAGTAATTGGAAAAAGATTAGATGGCAAGACTTTGTATTTTGTTGATTATATTACCAAAGTCTTCTCTTTAATCATTCCTTTTATTCCTGGTATTAATCATTAGCTCCTGGCGGTTAGGAGAATCAGCTAATGGTGGGTTCCTAACTTTGAGGAGAGAAATAATTGCTTTAGTTCAGTAAGAGCCGACGAGGGCTGAGCAGCCCACACATGGAAACGTATCCTCAAGCCTTCAGTGTGTGTAAGAAGACCCCAAGTGGCCAAGGGGACGCTGTTGTCCACCTGGGGGGCTCTTCTGGGCAGCCCCCTCCTCCTGTGACTCTCACCTGTGTGATCCGTGACACGTAGCTTGCGTGTGTTGGTCCACCCGGGGACGTCTTCGCCCTTGAGGTTCCCACATCCACGGCAGCTCCCAGGTTGCTGTGACCGGTGGAACGTCGCCTGCGTGCGTGGGTCCACCCGGGGACATCTTCGCCTTTGAGGTTCCCACATCCACGGCAGCTCTCAGGTTGCTGTGACCCCTTGAGGCCCTGCAGGACAGGGCAGAGCTGCCACGCATCGTCCAGAGATGTGATCTGCGTCTTCCTCGTGCAGAGTGGTTGGGGGGTTTGAACTGCCCACCTTCTGGTTCACAGCAGCCCCTTTATGGCCTGTCCTGCCAGGGCTCCTGAGCCACGTCTGCCGTGGCCAGTGTGTGACTGACGTTAGTTCTGGGAAGTGACCACAGCTGCGGCTAGAGTGCGCTCTGGGGGCCTTGCCCCAGGGAGTTGCGCTGCTGACCCAAAGGCGGCCCCTCTCTGGTTTTCCAGTCCGTCAGCGGATCCGCTGGACTTGTGGCCTCACCGGCTGGAGTGTCAGCTGTCCACTGGCTCTGACCGGATGGCTGTTGTTCAGCGCCCTTGGTCGGCTCCGGCCCCAGCCACCCCTCACGGCAGAACTGAGCTGAGCCTGCCCCACTCGCCAAGGCGGGTGCTGCCGTGTCGAGCCCGTGGTCACGCCACCGTGTCCGTCCACCTCCTCGAGGCGCTGCCTCCGTCCGCTGACCCTCTGCTTTGCGAGCATGCTGTCCTTGGCCAGGCACCAGCCGTTCTGATGACATGCTTGGAGTGTGTGCGCCCAAGTCGTCTTCAGGAAGGCGCTGCTCCTCCTGACGGTCCACTCGGTGCCACGCCGCCATGACTCAGAGGCTGTCACCGTCCAGCTTCCGCATGCATGTGACATGATTAGAGACTGTGGCTTGGGCCGGGTGTAGCTCAGTTTTCTAAGTGACACCTGTGGCTTCTAACTGTAAAGCGGTCCCTTGGAACAGCAGCACCAAGGAGTAACATGAGCCGGTGAGGATGAGGTGGTGTGGATGAAAGCAAGGGAGGGAGGGAGCCGTTAGATGAAGTCTCAGTAAAGGTGTGCAGGCCACGCATGCGCGCGCACACACGTGCATCAGGAAGAGGGAGGTCTGGATGGGAGCTGGTGTCCTGTGGGGGAGGAGGAAGACGAGGTGCCCCTTACTGTCGAGAGTGGCCCTCGGGACACCAGGTACCTTTGGCAGATGTGTTCTAAGGTTCACTTGTAACAGGCAGTGTCTCGGGTACTACTGCTGTTGTCATGGAACCTTCCACACCTGAGATCTTTAAAGGACAGACGTTGATCGTGTTGCTCTTTTGGGGGCGACAGGTCCACAAAGGGTATTGGTGTGGCTAGTCCTCGATGGCCTTTTTCTCGTTCTTGGGGTCTACTGGTCCTTGGAGCTCCCCTGCCTGTAGACGAATCCTTCCCACCAGTGTCCATGGGGTCCCCGAGCTCTTCAGGAGTCACCGATCAGGTGTGATGGCGCTCAGGGCCCTCCGTTCTCCTAAGAAGCTCACTGACCAAGAGGATATCGCGTCCCACAGCGTGTGCTTGGCAGGCGCGGGGCCTGAGGGATAGCATGGTTCCTTTGGGGGGACCTTGGGTGACTCTGAGCTTTTCAGATGAAACGGCCTTGGGGGAGGACTGTGTGAAATGTGTTGGGGACTGGATGGAATGGGATAGTGGGGTCTGGGTGGAGTGAGGGGACAGGATGAAGTGCAGTGTGGGGGACTGGACGGAATGGGGTAATGGAGTCTGGGTGGAGTAGGAGGGACTGGGTGGAATGGGGTGAGTGAGCTGGATGGAATGGGGTTCTGGAGACTGGATGGAATGGGGTTGGGGAGACTGGATGGAATGGGGTTGGGGAGACTGGATGGAATGGGGTGGTTGTGTCTGGGTGGAGTGTGGGGGACTGGGTAGAAAGGGGTGGGGGAATGAATGGAATGGGGTGGTGGGGCCTGGATGGAGTGGGGTGGGGAACTGGGTGGAAGCGAGTGGGGGGATTGGCTGGAATGTGGGGTGGGGGGGGAATGGCCAGCCCCTGCAGGGGCTGTGAGCCAGGTCCTTTCTCGTTTCCTTTCTGGGTTGCACTGCCCTCTAAGGATCAGGGGGCACGTGGGCTGGCCTTTGGTGACCTGCTTTTCCTTGTCCCCTTTATGTCAACAGAAGAATTGCGCAGGCTGAGCTGGTCCGGCATCCCGAGAGCTGTCCGTCCGATTACGTGGAAGTTGCTCTCGGTAAGTGCCCCGCCCCCCCGCCCACCTGCCTGCCAGGCGGTCCCTCCAGGTGGAGACGAGTGACAGCCTCCAGCTGGGAGGATGGCCATTGCCCAAGCCCACGCGTTTCCTTGGTCCCTGTCCCATGCGCAGTGACAGGGGCCTCTTGTCTGGGCCAGGATGACATTTTCCATTCTTTGCTTAATTTCAAGCTTGGTTTGACAAGGCTGGCAGAAAATGAGGATAAGTAATAATTTATGACAGCTGTATTCTTTTCCTCTGATTTTATTATTTTAAAAAATCTTTGTATTATTTTCAAACCCACAGTGTAGAAAATTTCCGGCATAGATGATTTGAACTCTGAGGAACCAGTGACAGGGATTTATGTTTATTCGTGGTGGGTTCCCCCCCTTTTGACATGAGAAGTGAGGAGCCTTGTGTACGTGGGCTACTAACCAGAAGGTGAGCGGTTCGAATCTACCAGCCAGTCCACAGAGAAAGATGGACATTCTCCTCCTGTAAGGATTTACAGCCTTGGAGCCCGGTGATAGGTCACTCACTGTGAGGACTGACTTGGGACCGGTGGGTTTGGTTTTATGGTAATTGTATTAGTAACAAAGTTTTAGAGAATATAATCGATGCTTTTGTGACAGTAGGTGGCCTTTGGGCTTCAGACTCATCTGAAGGCCTTGGAGGGGATGGGACATCAGCAAGTCTTTTTATACTAGACCTGACTTGACACCAGAAGTCCCTTGTGGTACTGTGGCCCCATGAAAATTTCCAAAATAGTTAACAGTTTTCCAGGGGAAGCCCTGGTGCAGGTGAGCACTGGCCCCTCCACAATGGGGGGCCTGGCCAGGATGGGTGTCTGGGCTCCACACTGAGTCATCTAGGTGGGGGGCACCGAGGCCGTTTTTCTGGAAGCATAAAGCAAGGTGGTGCCCCTGGGAAGGCCCTGACTTGCCCTTCATCCTGACTGGTTCCAGCACCACCCATGTGCTGGCACTGTGTTTGCAGCTGGGCAGTGGCAGAAGTCCCCATCCCTCGTGGGTCCTGTGGAACAGGGCGCAAAAGGGACCTGTCCTCACTGTCCCTTCATCCCCTACCCCTGACCGGCCTCACTCCACGTCCTTCTATCCACCGGGATGTCTGAGAAGAATTTCTCGTTTGTCCAGTTTAAAAGACCAGTAGCCAAAGGATTGCTTCGGTTGGCATGTACCTGTGAAGTGCGGTCCTCCGTCCTGCTCATTCCAGGCTGGTCAGCACCCCCAGCCTGATGATCACAGAGGGACATGGGCCTGGTCCGTGGGCCCGACAGGTTCCTCTGTGTCGTTGAAGAGCTAACGTGCTCTGCAGACTGCAGAGGTCTTGTGGGCGTCCTCAAACCACCGCCCCGCTGGCCCTGCTTGAGAATATGCTTTAGACTTTTTTTTGGTGTAAATTTTTCAGAAACATCAAACACAAACTAATTGATGTTGAACATTTATGCTGCAAGCATGCTGGTTTGGAATGCTGAGTCCATGTCTGGTCTGGTCGTCCCTTCTCCCCACGTAAGGAGGTAGGTTTTTCTGTGAACACAGACGGCGGAGCCCTGGAATTCTGAGCCACCCGGATGATGGAGAGAAAAGTACCTGCACGCATTGTTTTACATTTATGATTAGTGTTTTTATAGCATACTAATATAGCAATTAAGTTTTCTGTAGTTCTGTCATTTAAAATTCACTGCATACTGGAAAATATATGTCATTTGCATAATTTCCAGTCCTGCTTAATTATCGAGGGGCCTCCACGTGCATACAAGTTTCCTTAGGAATGGGAATCGCAGGAGGGCGTGGGGGGCATTTAACTGCTTGGGCTCTGAGATTGTCATGCTTGCCTTTTAGAATTTGTGTTTCATTAAGTTTTGTTAAAATGTGGGGTATAAGACGACTTTCTAAAGGTACTTGTTTCTGTTGGTGAAGAAACATTCTATGGGGTTTGAATAAACACCCCTCCTGGTGTTTCCACCTGTGGGGACACCCCCTGCCCTCCTGTCACACAGGAGACTGTGCCCCATTTGACAGGCTCATTGTCATCCTGGCTCTGTCTGGGGCCTCATCCAGTGCCTGCCTCCTCTTCTATTTGGATAGCCTGTCTCAGGGAGTGTGTTTCCTCACTCCTGCTCCACCAAGGAAACCACACTAAACACGACCCAGTGGGTAAGGAGGTGTACTGCCAACTCAGTGGTACGTGGTTCAAACCACCAACTGCTTCATGGGAGAAAGATGGGCAGCCTGATTTTATGTGGTTTACAACCTGCTGGAGGGGCAGCAGTGGGTGGGTTCCAACTCCATGGTCTAAAACAGCAAACAAGATGCCAAGGTCGGCCGACTACTCACTTGTTCTTGAGAAGTTAGGTCCGATAGTTTCCTCTGCCTGGTCTTCCTCTACTTCTTCCTAAGCACTGGGATGTCTGAGAAGAATTTCTCGTTTGCCCAGTTTGCCCTGAATCCTCAGAGCTGTCAGCCTCCTTTGGGTGTGATGACACCATGACACATCCGGTCATCCCTCTTTTGTTCAACGAATATACCTACTCCTCACTTAGTGACCATTTCACTGTCTGACATTTCCCATGTTAAAAAAATCCGCTGACCTTTGTGCATTAATAGTGTACATGTGGCCCGCTGCACTGAAGGCATTCCACAAAACAAGTCTCCAGGAATTGAAGGCACAACTAGTTGGAATGTTTCAGCAAATAGGTGCAATGCTGGGAGATTACTCAGCCATACTAAGAAATTTGGAATAGAGCGTCAGGGTCAGAAAGCCTGGAAGAGATCCACGTTTGTGCCCATTCCAGAGAGAGGTGGTCTAGCAAAATGTGGAGATTATCAAATAATATCACACAGGTCAAGTTTTTCTGAAGATACTTCAAAGATTGTGGCAGTACATTGACTAGGAACTGCCAGAAATTCAAACCAGATTTATTAGCATGAAAGATGTAATTTCCGATGTCAGATTGATCTTGGCTGAAAGCAGAGGAAACAAGAAAAATGTTTACTTGTGTTTTATTGCTTCTACAAATGCATTCAGCTGTGTAGACTAACAGATTATGGATAGCAGTGAAAAGACTAGAAAGTCCAACACTTAATTGTTCTCATTTGGAACCTGTACGTAGAGAAGGGGTGTTCATTTGCCCAGTATAATGGGATGCTTCATGTTTTAAAATCAAGAGCCGTGTGAATCAGGATTGTATTCTTTTACCATACATAAATAAGTTGGAAAGTGAATAAAGAAGATAAAGGAAGAACCAGTGCCTTTAAGTTGTGGTGTTGGTGAAGATACTGGACATCCCATGGACTAACTAAAGAACAGACCAGATCTGTCTCAGAGGAGTGCAGCCAGGGTGCTCCTTACGGCCAGGATGGTGAAGCTTCATCTCACAGACGTTAGGCATGTTGTCAGGGATAGGAGTCTTTGGAACAAGACATCCTGCTGGAGGAGGTGGGGGGGTAGGGCAGGAGAGAATGAACCTCAACCAGATGGATTGAGACAATACCTGGAACAGCGGGGCTTGAGAATCAGGAACGTCTGGAAGGTTCAGAGCTGCCATTTGTAGGGTCACTACGAGTTGTAGTCACCTGACTAGCACGTGATAACAGCAACAGAAACTCAATTTGTATGCCAAACAAATGTGAAACTGGACTCTATGAAGAGGAATGTGGCTTCAAGACCAGAGGAACCAAGTCCTTGTGATACAGGGCTTGAGTCTTCTGCTAACCAGAAGGTTGATGGTTCTGATACACCATTGCTCAGGAGGGAGTTACTTTGTAAACATTTATAGACTTGGAAACCCCCTGGGTCAGATTGCTCTGTGGATTGCTCTGTGAGTTAAGATAGACTGTATATTGTTTTTGATGTTGTTATGTGCCATCGAGTTGCCTTTGACTCAGTGACCCTGTGTACATTAGCTCTGAACCCTGCCCTTTCCCGAGCCAATCCCTTCGTCTCTGATCAACCTAATCCTATAGCTCCAGTCACTATGTCAATCCATCTCATCCTAGGTCTTCCTCTCCTGTGCTGTCCCTCTGCCCTTTCAAGCATGATGTCCTCTCCAAGGACTGGTCCCTCCTGGCCAAGTGCCCAAAGTATGTGAGATGGAGCCTCAAAATCCTTGTTTCCAGGGAACAACCTGGTTTCACCTTCTCCAGGATCTGTTTTTTTCTTTTGCTAGTTCACAGTATGTTCAACACTATTCTTTAGCACCACAATTCAAAGGCATCATTTCTTTTTCTGTCGTCCTTAGTTATTGTCCAGTTCTCTGATGCATAGTAATTGTGAAGATCATGGCCTGGATCAGGCTCTCCTTAGTCTCCAGACTGACATCATTGCTCTTCAGTACTCTAAAGAGGTCCCTGGCAACAGACTTTTCCAGTGCAGTTTGCCTTTTGATTTCTTGACTGTTGGTCCCAAGAGTGTTGATTGTGGAACCAAGCAAGTTAAAGCTATCAACAATCTCAAACTCTTTTCTATCCATCATGAAGCTGCCAATAGGCCCAGTGATGAGAATCTTTGTTTTCTTAATACTGAGTTTCAGTCCATTTTGAAGGCTACAGTTCTTGGCCTTCTACAGCAAATGCCTCTTGTCTTCTTCTGTTTCAGCAAGCAAGTTTGTGTCATCTTCATAACGCAGGTTGTTGATAAATCTGCCTCTGATCCTGATGCCACATTCCTCCTCAGAAAGTCCAGCTTCTCAAATGATCTGTCCTGCATATGAACTGAAGAGGTATGGAATGGAGACAGGATATATCCCTGATGAACTCCTTAATTGATCCTGAATGACGACTATACACATGGGCTTCACCTGATGGTCTACACATGAATCAGATTGACTCCATCTGAGGGAGAAGCTCAATATCAGCTGTGAAAACCAGGCCAGGTGCTGATTGTGGACCAGACCATCAACTATTCATATGCAAGTTCAAACTGAAGCTAAAGAAAATAAAAATCAAATCCACAAGAACCAAAGTTTGGCCTTGAGTCTATCCCACCACAATTTAAAGGCCATCTCAGGAACAGGTTTGAGGACTTGAACACTGATCAGCGAGGATATCAAGAGTATCATTCATGAAGAATGCAGAAAGGCCTGCAAAGACAAAAGAGAAAGAAAAGACCAAGGTGGTGTCGCAAGAGACTCTGACTATCGCACTAGAGAAGTCAAAGCTGAGAGAAGAAATCAAGAAGTTCAGGAGTTGAACAGATTTCAAAGGACAGCACAGGAAGACAAAACAGAGTATTATAAGGAAATGTGCAAGGAGCTGAGCCGGAAAATCAAAAGGGACAAACTCACTTGGCATATTTTATGCTAAAGGAACTGAGGAACACATCAATCCTTGAGCTGAAATGCTTAAGGATGCTGAAGGTAAAATGTTGAATGATCCAGGAAGCATCAAAAGAAGATGGAAGAAGTACACAGAGGCACAATACCAAACAGAATTGGCTGACACAGAAGAATTTAATGAAATAACATATGGTCAAGAGCCTATGGTGATGAAGGTGAAAGTTCAAGCTGCTCTGAAAGAATTGGCAAAAAACAAGGCCCCAGAAATTGATGGAATACCAATTGACATATTTCAAGAAACAGGTGCTGCCCTGGATGCGCTCAACAGGTTGTCAAGAAATCTGGAGGACAACCACGTGGCCAGCTGACTGGACGAGATCTATATTCATTCTCATTCCAAAAAGTAGGTGACCCAGCAGAGTGCAAAAATTATCAGTTGATGTCATTAATATCACACACAAACAAGATCCTGCTGAAAATGATCCAGAAACCATTGGAACATCCACAGAGACCTGCCAGAAATACAGGCTAGGTTTAGAGGAGGCCATGCTACGAGGGACATCATAGCCAGCGTTAGATGATCTTGGCGGAAAGCAGAGGGTACCAGAGGAATATCTGTGTTTCATTGACTATGCAAAGGCTTTTGACTGTGTGTATCCCCACAAATTGTGGCTGATTCTGAGAAAAATGAGAATTCCAGAACACTTAATTGTGCTCATGTGTAACCTATACCAGGAAGCAGTCATCAGAACAGAACAGGGAAACACCGCATGGTTCAGGATCAGGAAAGACTTGAGAGTAGAGTGCATTTTGATTTCTGAGTGGAAACCAGAAGCACAAACTGATTTATTTTTTTTAAGTTGGGAAAGGTGGCTTTGAATTTTGAGGAGGGAAGAAATGGGGTACATACATTCCCTTCAAGGGAACGCCAACTTTGCATACAAGGCTTTCCTTTTGTTCAACACCTTCAGAGTCAGAGAGCTCTCCTGAGAAGACAACAGCATCTCCTTGGGAACGTACAGGAACAGCAAAAGAAATACCTGGACAAACAGCAACTGAGAAACAGGGAGAAGCCCCACGTGGGGCACCCAGGGCACAGAGCCACCCATTGCCCCTTGCGTGTCGGCTCCTGTAGTGATGCTTTCAAAGAGTCTGTGTGTCTCTGCACACAAATGTACATATATGAGCATGTACACACGTGTATATGCATGCACACACAAATGTATGCATAAAGCGTGTATATGAATAGGTATGTGTACGTGTGTATAAGTGTGTGCATGTACACACCCCCACGTGGAGATGAAGAAAGAATGTGTGGGTACTGAGTGTCAGTTAGTCCTGACTCCTATTGGCTCGGCAGGACGGAAGTGCCCCGTGTGGTTTCCAGGTCTGTAAGCTGTGGACGCAGACTGCTGCGCTTTCCCCCAAGTAGAATCTGGTTTTGAACCTCAGCCCTTTTGGATAGCAGCCAAGCACTGTAAGCAGTGCTGTACCGAGGCTCCGCTTCATACGTGTTCTTTTGAGGGGTGGTGTTGATGACCTGTTCATGCTGTAGCAGCCCCAGCAGCCGGGCTGTCAGGTGAACGTCGGGTACAGAGCTCATTGTGGAGTCTGGCCTGGCTCTTGGGTGGCTGGAGTGAGGCTGCGCGGAGGAGGAGGCTGCAGGCGCCCTTGGCCTTGGCCTTGCTGGTGGTCACAGGGCTGATGTTTGCAGCGTAGCTGTGTCTTCATATCCACATTCCCTGCCCTGTGAGGCTCAGCCCAGTACCCTGCGGGGGCTCTGATTCCAGCCTTTATGACTAGATTTCCTGCATCAGCATTAACCGGCCTCTCCTCTCTGCCTCCTTCCCCAGGGCTACCTTCCTGCCAACGTGGACCGGAGACCCGCCACTCTACAGAGAAAACAGAAGGAATACTTCGCGTTCGTTGAGCACTATTATGACTCCAGGAATGACGAGGTTCACCAGGACACCTACAGGCAGGTGGGCGCTGCTGTCCTCAGAGCTCTGTGAAATGGGCCAGGGCCGTGAGGTCTTCCGTGGGGGAGTGGGTACCACGTGCCCCAGTCTGTGCCTTGGGTTTTCATTCTCATCGAAGGAGCGTGTTTGCAGATAAAGGCGTGCTTCCTCTGAGCGTCCTCCCTGGCCTGTGTCCACTTCTTGTGGTTTTACCTGGGCCTGCAGTGTGGACCTGGGAGACCCTCTGCAGGGCCAGCTCGGCTGAAGAGCTGGTGTCCGGATGGGGTCAGTGGAGGGCAGCTGCTGTGTGAGGCCCAGCAACTGCTGCTGTGGGGACATATGTCGTGGAGAGGGCTAGGAGCTGGTGGAAGAGGACACAGCCTGTGTGTCATTTTGCTACTTCGTCCCATACCAAATGGGTGTAATCATGGTTTTCCGAGCATGCAGCTGGCAGTCAGCCGACAGGCGGTGTGCCGAATGGGGAAAGGGCTCCAGATTGATTTATGGCCCACAGCGCCTCCAGAATGTGCTGGGGAATCTCACGTGTGTGGTCTGCACTCCCTTGTCACGTGTCAGGACCCGGCTGCTGGAATCCCAGGTGTCGAGACACGCCTGTGGTGCTGTTGAAGAGAGGTTGTAGTTGGTGGCACGGCTGCTGCTGCTTTGAGTTCAGCTCCCGGGTGCGTGAGGCCAGCCAGGAGGGACTGTGCCCCTGGGACCTCTGACCTGAGATCCGGGGACCGTAGATCTCCCCTTGCATATGATGTGCACATCTTCCTGTCTGTTTCGGGGGGACCAGAGGCAGGCTTCCCGTGCAGAAGCACACGTCTTCCTGTCCATTTGTGGGTGGGGGGGACCAGAAGCAGGCTTCCCATGCAGAAGCACATGCCCTCCCGTCCATTGGTTGGGGGGCACTGGGAGCAGGCTTCCCGTGCAGAAGCACATGTCCTCCTGTCCATTTGTGGTGGGGGAGGAATGGGAGCAGTCTTCCTGTGCGGAAGCACATGTCCTCCCGTCCATTGGTTGGGGGGGACTGGGGAGCAGGCTTCCCATGCAGAAGCACATGTCCTCCTGTCCATTGGTTGGGGGGGACTGGGAGCAGGCTTCCCGTGCAGAAGCACACGTCTTCCCGCCTGATGGAGGCATGGAGGCATCTTCCTCTGGTGGTGGTTGTGGGCTCAGCCTCCAGCTGCTGGTGGTCCAGGCACGGTGGGCGGGCAGTCATGGCGTGTTCCCTGGCTGAGATGTGGGAGTGGATCTCCACAGCTTTCCTCCTAGATGGCCCTCTGGACAGATGGCCGCCTGACCAGATAATGATGAGACTCAGGGGAGTGGTGGACTTGCTCCCTGCGGAAGTGGGCAGTGGGAAGGTCGAGTCACGCCACCGCCGGCTCTAGTGGGGCCCTTGTCCGCGGGGAGCATGGTGACCTCCTCCCTCAGACCCAGCAGCTCTGGGACACTGATTTCTTCAGGGTTACGAAGCTGCCCACTTACGAACTCGCCCCAGTGCAGTGGAACAAAGTGCTGGCAGCCCCGAGCCACCCCCGTGACCACCAGCAGATCAGACCACTGGGACCCTGACACTGTCAATGGCTGCTTCTCAGAAGTCAGTAGCCAGACCTTTCTTCCTAGTCCCCCTTGGTCTGGGGCTCAGCGTCACACCCCACAGGCTCCGTGGTGCACGTGTAATGGCCACGTGCGGTGCGTGGACCTGCTTCTCTGGGAGGAGGGTGAGACTCCTTCCCAGGGCGTTGTTGCCCACCCTGCCCCCGAATTGTCAAACGGTCAATTTCTTTCTACCTTACTGCGCTTAGGAAATGGGTGTGTTTAGACTGTCTCGGCCGGGCTCTTGCTGTTTGGATGGAAGCTGGGAGAGATTTCCTAGTGCAGACAGGAGCACCCACCGACCGGCTTGGCAGGCTCTGTCCTGTGATGGATTTTCCAAGGAAGCTGATTAAAACAGGCTGTGTACATCTTTACTCAGGCGCCATGCAAGGGAATAAAAAGCTGTGCTATTATTGAGAATTCTCCAAGACTAACAGGCCCCCTTCTGCCGCCTCCCCTGCGGCTGGGACGATCCCTCCCCACGGTCCCTAAGTATTTCTGCAGCAAGAGGAGCGAGGAGCTGTGCATGGCTCACGTCCCCTCTCGTGCCCACAGCCTGCCTCTCTGCAGCCCACCTCTGCCTCCAGGGCAGTGCCACATGGTCAGGGCAAGACACGGTGGCTGCAGCATGGCCACGAGGACATTGTCTTCTCTGGGCTGTGTGTTGCCAGATACAGGTCCGCATAGGGCACTGTGACATGGGCTCTTACCCTCTGTCCTCTGAGCTTGTCCCTGAGTCTGTGGGCCCACGTAAGACACTTTGACACTGTGACACAGATTCTGGTCCACTGAGCTGGTCCCCGAGTCCATGGGCCCCACAGGGCTCTATGGCCCTGTGACATGGACTCTGGTCCCCTGTCCCCTGAGCATGTCCCTGGATCTGTGGTAGGGCACTATAACACTGTGACGTGGACTCTGGTGCCTTCCCCTGAGCTGGTCCCTGAGTCCATGGGTGTCCGCAATACACTCCTGTGTGGTGTTGAGACCTTGAGTCTGTTCCTTTCAGAGAGGGACGAGTTAGGATTGGCTGCACATTTCAGAGGTTTCTATGCTTTGATACATGTCTTGGATCCTGAAAGACCTTGTCAAGTGGAGAAATGTGGCCAGTTTTCCGGGAAGGCGCTGTCGGAGCTGGAAAGTCCTCCACTGTTGATGCTATCTAAGCGCTGTGTGCTGGAGGCTGAAAATCAATGTTTGCTAATTGCATGGACTATGTTGCTAAATAGCTGAGGGCAGCTGGGCGCTCACCGTGACACTGCTCTGTGGGCTGGGGGACGGCGGCTCTAGGTCCAGCAGGACAGGGAGCTGTATTGGGACACGGTGGTGACCTGACGTCACAGACGGAGCAAGGACCCTGTGGGTGCAGGACTGAGTGCTGCATTGAGGACATGACAGGGTCCTGACATCACAGACGGAGCAAGGACCTGGCAGGTGCAGGACTGGGTGCTATATCAAGGACATGACAGGGTCCTGATGTCACAGGCGGACCCGGAAGGTGCAGGACAGATTGCTGCATTGGGGACGTGACTGTGTCCTGATGTCACAGACGGAGCAAGGACCCAGCAGGTGCAGAACTGGGTGCTGTATCGGGGACATGACTGTGTCCTGATGTCACAGATGTGTGAGGTCCCTGCAGATGGCCGAGTCCATGGACATGTCTCCTAGAGGGAATCAGATAAAATGTCTGTCTTCAAAAGAGAACAGAGTCAGATCTGTAGTGTGCTCACTTCATCATAATACTTAACGTTTAATCTCAGTGGTGATGAGGCGTTTGTGACCAGAAGGTGACTTCCTCTTCCTCCTTTCTCTGCAGATCCACATAGACATCCCTCGGATGAGCCCAGAAGCACTGATCCTTCAGCCCAAAGTCACAGAGGTGAGTGGCCGATCTGGACGTTCTGACTGGACCGACACGGGGATTGACCAGTGCTGGAGCCTCTCCCACAGACATGCCACCCCCTGGCCATCCCGGCCCCTGGGCACGTTTCACCCTAATTGCGATTTGTTCTGAAACGCTTTATCGTGTGGTAATGACACATCCAAGAGAAAGGGTGGAGCGTGTGGGGTCCTCAGTACAGCCGTCATCTGTCAGCGAGGCTTGTGTGTTGCCACCCCGCTGTCAGCACACTTCAGCACCAGGCTGGCTTGGAGGGAAGGGCTGGTGATGTGCCTGGGACAGCCATCCAGTCAGAGCCCCGGGATCCCGATGGCCCTGGGCTTGGGTGCCTTTGGTTCTGCTGGAGCCGGTCAGTGCCCTCGTGCTGGACACTTGTGTGTGGTGTGAGGTTGGGAGCTGGCTTGTTCTCTCATCTACCAGTCACTCCCAAGGCCCCATTTACTCTCTCGTGTCACTGCATACGTGTACTGCCCCTTCTGCCTTCTGGCTTTGTCTTACTTGCTTATGTTGCTTATCCAGCTTGGTCACATTGCCCGGGCTTTCCTCCCGTAGTGCCAAGCCCTGCTGGTCATTCAGCTTTAGTCCAGGCCTTATGTCTGGGCAGGGCACAGCGGTCCACCCTCCGCCCCTGGCTTTGCACCTGCACTTCTCTGTCGAGTCACATGGTCCTGCTCTTTGACCAGCTCGGCTTTTGCTTCCTGAGTGGTTTGGATTTCGTTTGGAATTGGCCTTGGCATTGGTCACTGTGGAGAGCTAGCATCTTTGGAAATTCAGTTTTCATTTTTTACAAGCATACCCTCATTTTATTCAGACTCGTTTTAATGTCTTCCAATGAAATTTTGAAACTTTCTCGATAAAAGAATCTTTGATTAGATCCATTCTTAGTTATATGTTTTTTTTTAATACTGTTGTAAATGATATCTTTAAAGTGGAATTTTCTTACTGTTTGAAGGATGCTATTTTATATTACGAATGTTCTAGTAAATACCCTCTTAACCTGCGTCATCCCTTGTGTTTGCAGTACGTTTGTTGTTGGAGTTTTTTTACTTGTAGGGTTTTTAAGCCAAAGTCCCCATGGATGGCCAGACACAGAGGGGGGAATGAGTTCTGAGTGCCAGCAGCCCCCTCGCTGGCCGTTGCCGTCAGTGGCTGTGCGTACTCTGACTGGAGAACACGAGGCAACGTTTATAAGTTCCTTTGTGGGGCATGGAACCTGTGCTGCGACTTTGAGTTTATGCTTTGATTTTCCCCACCGTGTGACTCGTCCCTCACACAGGACATGGGTGACTCTGGCAGGTGACCCAGAGTGGCAACCTACCCGCGTTGTGAACTGAGCTGCACCTGAGGCTCCGCTTTCTCCACGGCCTTGCCACATCCGAGGTTTTCGGCTCCTTCTCTCTAGCTCACTGGCGTGCCGTTGGGTGAGCTAGGGTCTCCGTGCCACTTTGATGCTCGTCTCCTTGATAATGAACGGCATTGAGCATTTCATGAGCTGTGAGCATTTCATGAGCTCTCCAGTGGGTGTTTAAGCCTTTTGGTAACTTTGTAAGTTGTGCTGTTGAGCACCTTAAGGTTTTTGCTATTACGCCCTCACCATATCCTTCTTTATAAGGTATTTTCTTCATCATTTTATGTATCAAGTCTTCCCTCCCATCCTCTGTGTTGCCTCTCCACGTTCCCATCAGGCCTGTGTGAGGCGGGCTCTGGTCTGCTCTTACGCTGGTCCACGTTCCCATCAGGGCCGTGTGACGCGGGCTCTGGTCTGCTCTTACGCTGGTCCGCGTTCCCATCAGGGCCGTGTGACGCGGGCTCTGGTCTGCTCTTACGCTGGTCCGCGTTCCCATCAGGGCCGTGTGACGTGGTCTCTGGTCTGCTCTTAACACTGATCCACGTTCCCATCAGGGCCGTGTGATGCGGGGTCTGGTCTGCTCTTACGCTGGTCCACGTTCCCATCAGGGCCGTGTGACGCGGGGTCTGGTCTGCTCTTACCCTGGTCCTGTCTGCTCTGACTGTGAGGGAATCTCTGTGTTTTGCTGACCTGCTGAACAGTTGGCTCTGAGTAGGATGCGTGTGTGCCCTGGTGGTGTTGAGTGTCGGGTCTGTGGTACCCCAGTGTCGTGGTGTGGGGGCCCACCGTGTGCCCCAGTGGTGTTGGTGTAGAGTCTTTGGTGCCCCAGTGTTGTGGCGTGGGGGCCCACCTGCTTGAAAAACCCCTCGTCATTTATCCCGAGATCCAGTGTGCTGTGTGTCCCCTCCTTGCCCTCTGCACACGCCATCTGCGAGGTGGGGCCCGTCAGTCGACACTTTAGGTTTGTTCCTCGCGTTTGTTGTGGTTTGTGGGAGGACGTGCTCTGTGACCCCAAGCCGTCCCCGAGCTGTAAATCCTGTCAAGCTTGTGTTCCTGGCGCCACATCGCTCCTGGCTCGGAGGCTGTGAATCTCGTCTGGTGCACACACGGCCTGGGGTTCTGTGTTCCTGTCCAGGAACCAGATCGGCCACGCTTTCTGCGCTGTGAGGTCGTGTGCTCGGTGCAGATGGTCCAGTTAGGATGTGTTCACATTGCTCGAATCAGAACCTTTCCCTGAAAGTCAGCGAACACAGCTGCGCCTCGCTGTGAACCCCTTGCCTGGTCCCCTCGTGCCGTGATGTCCTCGGTCCGTGTAGCTCAGCTGTGGAGGTGTCTGTGCCCTGTTTACAAAGGTGGACTGAGGAGTTCTGGAGCAGGGACCCCGGGAGCCCCTGGGGGGCCCAGGGCGCGTCCTGGGGCTGAGGTGGGCCGAGGCCTTGGGTCCCAAGTTGGGGGTCAATGTTGAGTGCCTGTGCGTCTCCGTTTCCTCAACCCCGTGGGGACAGTGCTTTCATTGTATCATTGAGTCGGCTTGCAGAGAATATGCATCAGGGAGAGATTCGAGTTCTGGACGTTTGATGGATTCCCACTTTCTAACGCAGACAAGCATCTCCCGATGGCCACAGAGCCCAAGGAGCTAATGGCACGCAGAAGGACTTCTCGTTCAAGTGGGTTGTCCGTGTCCACGTTCAGTGTGTGCTCGGGTGTGGCCTCCTCCTCTGCTGTGTGCTCATGGCCGCCCTGCTGGCAGCATGGAGCCCCCCAGGACCCCCACGGCCGCCCTGCTGGCAGCATGGAGCCCCCCAGGACCCCCACGGCCGCCCTGCTGGCAGCATGGAGCCCCCCAGGACCCCCACGGCCGCCCTGCTGGCAGCATAGAGCCCCCCAGGACCCCCACGGCCGCCCTGCTGGCAGCATGGAGCCCCCCAGGACCCCCACGGCCGCCCTGCTGGCAGCATAGAGCCCCCCAGGGCCCCCACGGCCGTAGGTCTTTGTGATGTCACCACCTTGTCTGTCTTGAATCAGCTTGTGGGTTTGAAGCGCTGTTCTTCCAGTTTCTCTCCAAGCACTTTAACCACTGCACTACCAGGCCTCCTGTGCACCCTGGAGGCGGTGCCCCGACAGGCCTCCCCTCCTGCTCGTGGGCCGGCTGCTGCTGTGTCCTGCGGCCCCATGAGCTGTGTGTTGTCTTTGCTTCTCTGCCATCTTTTCTGTGGCTTGACCTTCGAGATGTCTCCTCATCCACACAGGACGTGTTGTTGGAGGGGCCAGGCCTTGGCCAGAAGAGGGTCGGAGAACGAGAGGAAGCCTCTCACACATGTGGACTGAGACCTGACTGCTCCAGCGGGTGGGCACGGCAGCGGTTCTGAAGGTGGGCGGGAGCAGGCAGGAAGGTGTCTGTTGGTCATGGGCCACCGTGAGCCAGAGCTGCCCTGGCTGCACCTACGCCATCAGTGACGTGTCTGCGTCCGTGTGACACAATGTGTGTCCATGGACAGCGCCGGACACGGCGCACGCAGACCCAGCTGCGTGTCAATTCTTGATACTGTCTTTGGAGTGGAGCCAGTGCATGCTCCCCAGAGACCATGGCCAGCTGGGAGCAAACCAGAGCTGTGCTGGTCAGTTACATGCTGGGTCCCAGGGGCCTGCTGGGGTCATAGTCTGTGAGTTCTGTTTCCTCCTGGTGTCCACCCATTCTGACCTGGTTTTTCAGGTGACACTGTCCATCAGTCTTTCTGAAGCCCCAGGCTGGACTGCAACATCCTCCTGGGTGAGTTGGGGGCACCAGGCTGCGGTCAGCTGCTGTGCGTGTTTGCTGTGGGCACCTGGGCACTGTCCAGTCCCTTCCCACTACTGTGGCTCCGTGTGTCAGAATGGCCCCCAGGGCGTCCTAGGTTGTCTTTTTATGGGGCGGGACCTCTGGGGGCGTGGTCCATAGGAGATTGTGCTGCTGACCCACCAGGCAGTGACTCTGGAGGTTCAGGGCTCTGCTGGCTCAGTGGTGAGGGATTGCACTGCCAGTGCACAGGCACCCGGTTCAAATCCCCCAGCTGCTCTGCGGCAGGAAGAAGGGCAGCCTTCTGTGCAATTTACTGACTCTGAACCCCTATTTCTGTGGGTCACTTTTGACTTGACAGTACACAGGAGAAAGAGCGACAATCCCACTTCCGAGAGGTGCTGGAGGGTCAGCTGTGAGTTGGTTATGGTGTGGCAGGTTTGAGGGTTTGCATGTTAATTAAACCTTTGTGGGAGCACATCCCTGGGCCTGCCTTCCATGGAGCCAGCCTTTGGATTAGCAGGGGTGTGCGTAACCACTGCACGCCTAGGGCTCCTTTTCTTCCCTGATGGGACTCTGGGGCCCACCCAGGGGCAGCATCCACAGACCTCTGCTTAAGGGACACCAGAGAGGGACAGCCGAGCAGCAGAGAGAGGTGTGGTCTGAGGTGGGCAAGCAGGCGCGCCCACTCAAAGAGATGCTGCCCTTGCTGGAAGGGGCAGAGGGCGTGGGGTCTCAAGGACACATCTGGTGCCCCTGGGGCCAAAGGCATTTCCTCCTCCACCCCAGTGCAGAAAAAGGTGACCCAGCAGAAAGTGTAAATTCGTAAACAACATAGTTAGTATCACATGCAGA